TTTGGTAAGATAAGCTTCTGCACCTTAACAATTTCATGCTATTGTATTCATATCTTTTTACTGGGTGGTTTCTGGGACCCCACTAAATCTGAAATAGCAGACATCTTCTTGCTTAGAGCAGAAGGTAACACTTCATTACGACGAACATATACTTTGCGAGAGGAGATGGTTTTATTACCGGTTCCCTATCTTTTCCTTGGTGATGCTCGCCCTTTGAGACTAGTAAGCATCTTCAAGGCTCCTCCTCCACGTCTTTTTGGGCTGTTTTGGATCATTTTTTCATGCTTACTCCCGAGGCGGGCTTTTGTTTCACTTGCTTTCAAGCTGATCCTTCCTTGCTAGTGACGTGTGGAGCAACTTGATGACTGTTTTTTCCTGAAGCACGTTTCTTAAGAGAGGGAGTTAGTTGAGAAATGGCCTCTATTCTTTCATTCTCTTCCCCCAACTCATCCCCTAAAAATTCATCTTCTTCCATCTCCTCCTCATTCATCTCCATTTGTTGTTGTGCCTTCACCTTCGCAGCATCTTCTTTATCAAAATATTCCAACTCCTTATCGGTCATAAGAGGTGTCAGATCACTCTCCAAATCATCCGCTTCAAGCATCTCATCCAGCTCCATGGAGTTCACATCCTCACGAACATGCTCCTCTGCCGACGAGGTCCTTGTCGAGGTTGGTGTTTCTTGATTGCTTCGCTCCGGTATCACTATCGGGCCTGGTTACTTTAGATAGCTAAACTGCACTAGTTTTCGAGTGTCCTTCTCTCCTTCGACATCTTTTGATTTTTCTTTGATCCTCCATCTCCTTTCCTCTTTCGACTCCTTATTATGCGTTGTTGAGGCACTTTCATTCAAATTGTTCCTTATATCCAGGCCCGCAATCTGATCCGAGATAGTGCATTGGGAGTCTGATACAGCCTTTGAAGTCGAGTTTTCTTGTTCACGCTGTCCCTGTTTTTAATGAGAAGAGGGACGCGACATCTCATCCACTCCGCCTTCTTTTGCTCTGGCTCCCATTGTATCCTGTGTATTTTTAGAGCTTTCCTCTTCCATGATTTCTCATACTCCGATAACGGATATGGACGGTTATTTTGTTTCAGATGCACGCGATTACGTGGAATTATGACTTCATCTGGCTTTTCAATGCGACTCCACATTTCTTTGCTCCTTTGTATCCTTCGTTGCAGGCATTATTCCTTTTAGTCCACTCTTTATGGTACAGCTCTCTGTTTCTATTCCCATAACCTCGTTCAGCTTCCTCTCCCCTCATTGCTACTATGTAGTTTCCACTATCCAGCTTTTTGAATTTGTGAGGGTGAAAATCATCTCCCAAATTTTTTCCTATGTCTCAACCTGAGTTTTGTATCCGAGGGATTACTTTGTTTTGCTTATTTGAGTAGAGCTCCAAGTTTTTCCCATCGGATCTTAGTGTTTCGTGAGCCCCTCTATTGTATTCTTTTGGCCGATATTGAGACTGTCTCTCCTCCCTCTCCTCCCTTTGCGGAGAGCGAGTTCTTTTTTGATTGTCATTCCCTGCAGGTATGGGATTTTGGAGCGGTGCCATCAGCATTTTCTCCTCGGTTCCCCCATACTTGCTATGTATCTCTTGTTGTTTCTCTGCAGCTAAAGCAGGACATGTATTCTCTTCATGAGAAGCGTTTGCAGTTAAAACAATAACGATGGAGGCTTTCGTACTCAAACTCCACTTTTCCCACATCCCCATTTAGGAAACCCACTCTTCTTTTGAACTGCAGAGGGTCATTGGCGTTGATAGATACTTTTACCCTTGCACCTTCCGCATCCATCCCCAAGACTCATCCCAGAGCTTTCTCAATGGCTTTGAACGCATCATCGTTCCAATAGTGCACCGAGACCCTTGTGACTCGTAGCCAGAACAGGATTGTAAAGGGGAAGTCCTCCCTCGCTGAGGGTTCCCATCGTTCCAGAGCAAAGCACCATCGATTGAAGTGACATGGGCGCTTTGCCAGAACCTTCTCCATATCCTCTTCACGGTCAAAATCAAACTGGAATCGTCCATTTCCTAGGTTCGAGCCTTTCACTCACCCTTCTACATCCCAGATTCTTGCTCTCGGCAGCTGGGCTATCAGAGCTTCCGTACTTCTTTCTTCACAATACAGCATCCTGCAAATGAGAGTTTTCTTAAAACGCTCTGAAGCGGCCACCAGATCACATGCTGGTAGTTTAATGATTTCATCATCTTCCAACTTCAACCTTCATCTTGTTTGCATCAAAGACCCTCCTCTTTGCAAGACACTTTGATTCAGAACCATTCTTCAAACCTTGGTAGCGCCCCTGAACGATGATCTGAAAATGTAGATCCGACTCTTTCAAATCTCGATATTTCTTTCCCCGCACAAAATCAGTCAAAACGTAGTACAAGACTAGAAAACTGATCTCGGAACAACCTGGCGGAGAAGATCGTAGACCGTAGCAATAGCTAGAAACCATACTCACTTGTGATTCAAAATGATCCCTCTACCACAAAAAACGACATATCCAAAGTCATAGCACCCTACGATCCAGAAACGAAACTGTCTTCACAACTGTCTCAATCCCCAAGTTCTGAAACACTTATCTTTGTTTGAGAGACGATGCGAGAGAAGTTAGCTCCAAGATCCACCGTTGTTGATGATCGCTGGTTAGGGTTGCAAGAATCGCCTTTGTAATCGCCAAAACCCTAGTGTCGTCTCCATAATGGAGCTGTGGTTTTTTTTTTTGGGTGCAATTAAAGCTTAAAATTGGTTAAAAATAGTGGTTGGGTGAATTGATGATGATGACATTTTCATAAATAAGTGAGGCATATGAAGAATATTTGGTCAATTGGATATCCAGAATAAAAGAAACTAATTTGAAATAATGGCAAATTCGTAAATAATTGGAACTGAGAAGGATTGTTTAGATACAAAATGGCTAATATTGAAAGAGAGAATTTTGTGGGTTATATTTGCAATTGACTTTAATTTTTGAGTCATTTTTGCAACTCTCCCTAGAAATATAAGTAGTGGAAAACGTAAATACTTATGACAGCATATAAATATGGTTGAAGTTTTTAAACAATTAGTACATGTTAATGATTTCGTAATATATCTATATATTTTAGGATAATAAAAATAATAAAAAATAATTTTAATTTTCAAAAATAGAAAATAACTATCAAAAAATACTAATAAACTTAAAATTAACATACTAATATATAAATATATAAAAAAGGATCTTAGGGGAAAGAGTACTTTCGAGTTTTTATTTGAAAATTGGGTACATGAATCTTTTAATTGGTATAGCAGAGAGAAACGGAGAGAGAAAAACTGGACGATTTTTGCCTGAGTCATAGAGAGAGACAGAGACAAAGAAGAGAGAGATAGAGAGAGGAAAAGTGTCCACTTTCTCATGGGGCCGAGTGTTGCGCGTGATATGTGTGTGGGTAGACACGCGCGAGTAAATCTTCAGTCTAAGTGAGAGTATACTCTCCCTGGTTCGGTAAAATACCCAATAATTGACCCATAATTTACGGGTAATTTATGCGGGTCCGGTATGGATAAAAGTACTATCTATCCAGTTTGGATTAAGTACCCAGAAATAGGTGACACTAACCAAGCGGTATGTTCTCCGGATTGTTTGTATAATTTTTGGTTACACCTGGTTTTGAAACGACAATACAATGTCTTTCATAAAGTACCCAGAAAATAATGGGCCTATTGTTTTATTTTTAAGAGTTTATGGGCCTCTACTACCCAAGAAATATGGCGGGTAACAACGGTTTTACTTCTTAGTAAACACATTTACCTAGAAGAAAAATAGAAAATTATTAGAAACCATTTTTTCCGATAAGAAAACCAGTGTGGTCTTCAGCTCGATTTCGGCGACATGAATCCCGACAAGAAACCAAAGGAAGATAAGCGCGTTGTGTATTATTGGATTGAAGATATGCTTACTGAGATCAATGGGAATGGCACATCACCGATTGAGAGTGTTACTAACTGTGATCTGCATGTGTTTAAATTATTGCATAAATGTACAAGTCAGTTAACATCTTCGTGACATTCTTAGAGCGTGTGGGCGACAGACTAGTCATTTTGAAGGCTAAGCAAGGCGTGACTGCTGAAATAAAAAGGGAAAGAAGTTGTTATGGTCGCACAGAAGAAAATGAAAAACAGAACCATAGTAGTGGGAGTGGATTGTTGGGTTTTGGAAATGAGAGAGAAGATGAGGAAATACTAAAGCACATCGCGTCGGTGGAAGCTGCTCTGGAAAAGGGTCAAGATAAACGTAAAGCTGGAGAGGAGATTAAGGATGGACGTTCAAATGAATCACAATCGCAAATTGCAGCAAAAGAAATAGAGGAGGAGAAGAGGATAATGATGAAGACGGAGATGAGTATGATGATGAAGACGGAGATGAGAATCAGGATCAAGAAGAAGACGGAAAAGAGGATTACTATTGGGACTTCTGGCATGACCTTGTTTTAAATGTTGGGATCTCACAAGTGGATGGAGGCGCTTCTGAATCCCAAAGAAACGTGACAGAGCATTCCAATATTCCAGTTTAAGAGAGTAGGTTCAACAATCATTGTGGAGATGAGGTATTCTGTGACTGGCTCCGCGATGATGAATTCGCTGATGAGGCACCACACTTTTCGCTGAGGTATATAAATATAACTTCTCTACATGGCTAGAAGATACACCGCCTGCAAAATCGGAGACCACGACCAAAAAACCTCATCTCGTGGATGTGAGTAGGGATGATAAATTCCTGTATACTGACAAAAAGCTTAATATCGTGGATGTGAGTGGAGATGATAAATTCCTGGATACACTGCCTGCAAAATCAGAAAACATTGCCAAAAAGCCCTACATCGTTGACCTCAGTGGTGATGATGATTTTGTGGATACACCTCCGAATAAATCAGCAAACAATGTCCCCACTGCCGCAGATGCGTTCTTGTATACACATACGTCATTCTCGCGACGTGTCCCTTTCACTGATGAAGTTTCGAGGATCCTTTGCAAAGGTCAGAAAAAGATGTAAGTTTCCGGGGAAGGGGTTGGGAATCAGTTAGGAGAGGTATTAGGTTGGTAGATGTATATGGTTATGAAGATCTGCCAGCTGTATTTAACGATATGGCTTATGTTCCATTTAATATCCATGACGTTGCTTTGAGGTATGAAGATGATGCCATTTACGTAGGGAGTTTGTTCAAGAACAAAGAGCATTTTAAAATCACGGTGGGTATATATGCTATAAAGGAGGTGTTTAGGTTCATGTATCACCGTCATGCGAATTTATATGTTGATGCCAGATGTATTGATCGTAAGTGTGATTGGAGTGTTAGGACTCATAAACTCGGGATTCAGATATCTATGAGATAAGGAAAGTGAATTTGGGTCATTTGTGCAATTCAGATAGTAGAGGACAGTTTTTGAAGCATGCAACCTTGAAAGTTATTGCCGCTTTGTTGAGATCAAAGTATGAAACTACATTTGTTGGACCAAGTGCAAAGGATTTACCGGCTGCAATACTTAGTGAGCATAGGATTAGTGCAACGTATTGGAAGTGTTGGAAAGCATGAGAGTTGGCACTCTATACAGCCCATGGAACAGAGGAGAATTCATTCAAGTTGCTTTCCATGTACTTTTTCGTACTGAAGTATGCTAATCCAGGATCAATTACGCACTTACGTACTGAGGTGGACGAATTGGGGACAGGCACGATCTAAGTTCTCATTTATGGCATTGAATGCTTGTATTTATGGGTGGAAACATTTGAGGAAGGTGGTGGTGGTGGATGGAACTCACCTGTTTGGAAAGTACATAGGATGTCTCCTTTGGAAATCCTTTGTACGAAAAGTACAAACGAATCGGAAATTAAAAGATATCATTGGAGATGGTGCAGATGTTACTATGACATCTGATTGATGCAGCTCTATCTATACGGCAAAGGAAACGTGGTATCCACTTGCAAAACACGCTGTCTGCCTTGTCCACATACAGAGAAATATTGGTAACAAGATTAAAAAAAGACGGTAAAAGGAGATGGTAGGTTTGGCAGGAGATGCATTCAGACCATCCCAGTTTAAGAAGATTTATGCGACGCTTAAGCTAGTGGATATATGTTGTTGGGAGTACATGGAGAAAACTGATAAAAAAAATATTGGACAAGATGTTACTTCGAGGGAGGGGAGGGGGGGGGGGGGGGAAGATATAATTTGATGTCTAGTAACATAGCTGAATCCCTAAACAATTACTTCCTGCCAGGGACAGTCCTATCATTTTATTGTTTGAGTTTATCCAGCGGATGCTAAGCAGGTGGCATGAGAGTAGACGGAAGAAAATCAGTAAAATGCAAGGTAATATTCCAGAGGAAGTAGAGAAAGAGCTCTCTAACCAGTTGAATTTCTCCCTAGGGCTTCCCGTTTCAGAAATCTCAACATGGGATTTCAAAGTTACATCTGGGACATGTGTAGCGCACCATGTTCCCTAGAGAAAAGAACGTATACATGTCATGTATTTCAGACACTCCTAATACCTTGCCGAAATGCAATAGCAGCAGAAACCACTCATAAACTGTCGTACAAGACTTTAGTAGGTGACATGCATTCAAAGTCCGTGTGGTAGAAGACATTGTCGGGTATTATTCTATCTGTTCCAGACCCAGAGGATGTTCTAATTGAAGTCAACGAGGGTCTCGAAGTTCTTCCTCCTAAGACTAAGCATCTCTAGGGAAGCCTCCCAAGATAAGAGAACGTTCAGTTGGTGAAATACCGGTAATCCCACTAACCTCTATATTCTGGTTATTGTCAATGAAGATTAGATGAAAACTATAATTTCTATCACTTAACTTGTCCTAGGGACTAACGAAGAAAGCCATGATCAACAAATGTACGAGGTGCTTCGTAGGGGGACAAAATCGGGTTACTTGCATCGTTTCATTGGGATGATAACATTTGCTGTACGTTCTGATTAACCATATTCTGTACATAACGTTGGTGTACGTTCTGTACTGTATATGTTATAACAATTGCCTGGTGGACGTTTTGTTAGTGTATGATTCCTTTGTGAATATATTAATGTACGTACTTCTTGGTGTACGCTGCGGTTTGTTCATGTGTACGTTCCCCTAGTGTATGCCTTGTTAGTGTACATCATGTTTGTGTACGCTATGTTACTGTACGTACTTCGTGGTGTACATTTCTGTTTATTTAGGTGTACATTTCCCTAGTGTACGTCACGTTTGTGTACGTTTTCTTCATGTACTTTCGTTTGTGTTCACTATGATAGGTTATGTATCTGGTCGTGCAACAATATGTTTTGTTGGTTGATGTTTCGTTTGTGTACGCTATGTTAGTGTACATACTTCGTGGTGTACGTTGCGGTTTTGTCAAGTGCAAGTTTCCATAGTGTACCCCTTCTTAGTGTACGTGATGGTTTATGTACGCTATGTGGTGTACGCTGCAGTTTTGTCAGGTGTACGTTTCCTTAGTGTATGATTTCTTAGTGTACGTGATGGTTGTGTATATTTTCTTGGGGTACGTTTCTCTTGTGTACACTATGTTAGTGTACACCAAGAGAACGTCCCATAACATTTATGATAGGTAAACATGATAAAGGACATCGACACTAAAAATTAAATAAATTCAGATTACAGAATTGAAGAGCTTATGAAAGCAGAAAGGTAAACACGAAAAATTACAACTTCCAGAATAAACATCCATCAACATCCATTAGAGCATGCTGCATATACGACGTGTGCACCCATATATGTAGCAGTCGTTGCAAAATGGGTCAAAGTATAGGATCATGTTCAAAAGCATATTCTGGCATCTTAACAAGTGCAGTGTCTGGGTAAGAAAATGTGGTTATGTGGGTATTGTTGCATCCGGGGCTATGCCAAGATATTTCATAAATTAACTCCTCTCCCATGTGTCTCGCCCTTTCTGCTCGTAGAGGTGAGTGGTGTACTTCAAACTTGTGAAAGAGTTTGCTGGCTCTGTCTGCATCGCCACGACAAATGTTAAAGATTGCCACAGCTAGGGTGGTGTCTGCATGTTCTGGAACATTTAGCTCCATGAGATCGGCTCCACCATTTCTGTCTGCACCCTTGCATACCAGTCTTATATATTCGAAGTAAATTGCATACTGGTTACCTTGTTCTAGACACTTTGCAAAGAAAGGGCGCCCTCTTCCTCCAGGTCAGATGTCTAGGAGATCTCGGCAAAGCGACCATAGGTTACTGATTCGTACGACATCGTTGTTGTAGCTGAGGTGATAGGTCCGTTTCCCTGCTCTAATAAACGGCCCTAGATGCCAAAATGTATCTTCCACAAACTTCTGAAGGATTATAGATATGATTTAATATGGTAGGTGTGGTAGTATCATGATTGAAGACCGAAATGGAGGAGAATATATATCACCAATAATAGTATAATTTTTCAGATCTTAGATCTAAAATGAAGATGCGTCCTTTTGTTGCAAATATATATGAACATTATGAATGAATAAGATGCTACGTGTTGTAACCCCGTCAGAGTTATTTATAAGCCGAAAATTACAAAACTCATAAATAAGACGTAATATAGATAATACATAAGGACAAGCGTTTCAGAAAATTATAAAACATAGTCAACCACATAATTATGACATAATTAAAATATAGTGAACCACAAAATCTCGAATATATAAAAAAAGTTTGGTAAACCATTACAGCATGTCACAAAGACGGCTAACGCACGTATATAAGTAGCACTCCTCGCAAAGTGGGTCGTCATGATCCAAGGCACAGTCGGACCAAAATAAATCAGGGAAGGTAAAATTTCCAATGTACGAATTGAGGAATGGAGGATCAAACCAATACATGGTATAGAATAAATTCTCCGCAAGTTCTTTAAGTCATCTAGATTTTAGTGGCACATGGTTCTCAGCAAACTGGTGGAAATACTGTGCTGCCTCATCCGAATCCCCAAAATAAACAGAGAATAGTACAGCTGCGATAGTTGCATTGGCGTGCTTTGGGACATTACATACCATGAGATCGATTCCGCTAACAATATCTGCAGACTTGATTATCAACCTTTGAGACTCGTATTAAATGGCTTGCTGGTTACCTTGTTCGATACACTTTTCAAAGAAACATCTCTATTTTCTTCCTGCACTAATGTGAATCGGATGGCGACACACATTGTACAAGTTACATGTGCGGAGTACATTGTTCCCATACACAAGCTTGTATGTTCGTTTCCCGGCTCTTACGAATGGCTTAAGCTCAGAAGCATTATGTCCCCCAATATTTTCAACGATTATACAAAGGATCTGATCAGATAAGTATGGAAGTGCCATTTCGTTTAGATGTAATTTGCTTTGAGTTGTTGTTGTAGACTTCTGAAAAAAAGAACATACATATAATGGTGGATTATTGGTGGGTGGGTAGTTAGTTTTACAAATAAGTAATGATGTGTTATTGTCGTTGTCCTTTATTTTAGAATATGGGTGTACTTGTAAATCTTCTTTTTAAAAATAATAGTTGTATATTTGCGTATTACATATATTAAATGTAATTGAAAGAAAGAAAATAAATTGATTTTATTAGAGCATACCACATATAGCCCAAGTGGCGAAAAATAAAAAACAGAATTTACATAGAGGCTGCCCAAACTGACATTGACTCCAGTTGATGATTTCGTTGTCTAAAATACTTAAATATCTTATGTAAGTATTCTCGAACGGAGGATCAAACCATTTTATCTCTTCCAGTAAATTCTCCACAATATCTATAGCCGTTGGCAAGTGTAGAGGGGCGTGCTTCTTAGCGAAGCGGTCGAATAATCGGGTTGCTTGAAGAGAGTCCCCACGACATATGCGAAACAATACTGCTGCAAGGGTGGCATCGGCATGAGTTAGAACATTGTGTTCCATCAGTCTAACTCCACCGTATAAATCTCCAGACGTTATAATCAGCCTTAGATATCGTAGTATATGGCTTGAGGGTTACCTTCTCCGAGACACTTTAGAAAAAGAACTCGACATCTTCCTCCTGGACTGAGGTTGATGGGATCGCGACACATAACTAGTAAGCTACAAGTGCGGAGAATATTTCTACCCAACACAAGGTGATATGTGCATTTCCCCAAATATTATTTTTCCCAACATTTTTTACGATTATGGAGAGGATTTCATTTGGTAAATCAGAAACTGACATATTGTTTAATTCATCTATGGAATTTGATTTGCAATGCCTTGTGATGGGTATATATACAAAAGTGTTTGGTTTTTACTTGTAATTAAATAGCATTTATTGCTTTTACATAGAAAACTGAATTGTTGAGCCGAGTGTAACTATTAGTTTTGACCAAGTACTTCGTATTCCTAGTATTTAATTTTTTCATGTATTTATCCATATTTATACTTAACCCGTCTTATCATAATTTATTACTAAAGCCAACTAATAGCCAGTACAGTTCATCTTCCCCTCGCATTAAATAGAATTGCAGAACTAGAAAATATTATACTGTATCTGTTTAGATAAATGTCTTGTCGGTTTAAGTGTAGAGACTACGGCATACGGGGCTTAGTAGTATACATGCTTTAGGGTAGTGGTAGAGTAAAAATATGGAAAACAATTTAAATCTCGTCGTAATTCATTTCAAACATTAATCAGAGTAACCGTTAAAGATAACCCAAAAATATAAAACAAATATCATGTCCTTCCAATATAACTGAAAACATTACTCAACCAATCCAAAACATAATTATTCGGATATTAAAACTGAAAGCGATTGTTTCGAGGGGTCTCTTCATCGAGTACATTCACCACAAATCACCAATCTGACATATTTAGTGCGTCTCAACTGCATATGTGATATACCTGAAGAACATTGCTGTATCTTGTTCCCAATGGCATGCACTACATAAGTTTGGACCCTTACATCCAACTACATGCCAAGCTATGTGGGGATCAGGCACACCGCAGACGCAATCCCAGAGAGTAACAAATCCTTTGTTAGTCTCGAAC